TCCTTTCGTTCCCAAAGCTCGACCCAGCTTACCTTTAATTCACAGAGCATCATTCCAGGGTCGTTTCCAGTTAGCTCAGCTCATCCCTTATATGCTTACTGGCCAGTTTTGATATCAAATAGAGATGATCTCATCTTGGACCTTGCCCTGCACCCTCTGCTGGTCATAGGCACTATGTGATTAAGGATTGAAGGAGTGATGAAGACCATAATGCTGTGAGGTCAGAGAGGTTGTGGTCACTGAATTAAAATCATGGAAGGGGAGGGGAGGGGAAAGGAGGGGAGAGAAGGGGAGGGGAGACTAAAGGCTAAACTATATTAGCAGCTCCATAGCCTCTGGCAAGTCACTCAACTTTCTGTGCCTCAGTTTTCTCATTCATAAAATGGGACTGACAGTGTCGACTTCTCAGGCAGATGCATTTTGTAAACTGCAATATGTATTTGGCTATTATCACTGTGGCCTGGAATGTTCTGAGCAGAAGCAGATTACAAGGTGGACCCTAAGGTTGAGGAAGATTCAGGCTACATGCTCAGGAAGAGGATGAGCACTACAAGCATGAGAAATGGCACAAGCAAAAAGGCAGAAGAGATGTACCAAGTTTGGCTGCAGTAGAAAGCTTGTCTGGGAGAAGCGGATGTAAGGCTGGAAAGGTAAGTGTGCCGTATTCGGTTGGTGATAAAGAGATACTGACCTTTTTGGTCAAGTAAGTGAAAGGATGAAAATAATGTCTTAGAAGATTAACTTGGCAGAGGTATTATGGATGGAGGGAATGGAGGCGAGTTAGAATGCAGGCAGGGTGGTTACAGAAGGGTGCTGAACTCAAGATACCAGCTATGATGAGGGCCTTAATGAAGGCAGTGGCACAAGAATATGGTGACAGGTGCAGCCACTATGGAAGACAGTATGGAGAAGACAGTATGGAGTTTCCTCAAAAAGTTAAAAATGGAACTCCCATTTGACCCAGTGATCCCACTTCTAGGACTATATCCCAAGAAAACAGAAACACCAATCAGAAAGGATAGATGCACCCCTATGTTCATAGCAGCACAATTTACAATAGCTAAGATTTGGAAACAGCTTAAGTGCCCATCAGCAGATGAATGGATTAGAAAACTGTGGTACATCTACACAATGGAATACTATGCTGCTATAAAAAAAGGAGTTCTTACCGTTTGCAACAGCATGGATGGAACTGGAGAGCATTATACTAAGTGAAATAAGCCAATCAATGAAAGAAAAATACCACATGATCTCACTCATTTATGGATAATAAAGACCATTATAAACTGATGGACAAAAATAGATACAGAGCAGCATGGAACAGACTGTCAAACTACAGCAGGAAGGCCCGGGAGGGTTTCGGGGCAGGAGGGGGGAGGTAAGAGATCAACAGAAGGACTTGTATGCATGCATATAAGCATAACCAATGGACATAAGACACTGGGGGGTAGGGGAGGCCAGGGGATTGTCAAGGGCAGGAAAAAAAGGAGACATATGTAATACTCTTTGTAATACTTTAAGCAATAAAACAAAATTTTAAAAAAAGAATATGGTGACAGTGAAGGTAAGTGTATTCATTCTCTTAACCATTTGTTGAACATGTACTACCTGCCAGGAACTGGGAGGGCATGGATAAAAAATAATCCTCGAGGCTTTAAGGAATTTGGCCTAGTAGGGAAGACAAAGGTGGACCCACAATTACGTTAGAGCTATGTGCTAAGTTTTGTGGTGGCACAAGTGGAGTTTAGTGAGCAACTATGAATGGGGTCAAAGAAGTTTCCCAAGACGCCTGTTTTGGGTACAAGTTACAAGTTGAGCAGGGGTTCTCTGGCAGGGAGGTAGGGGCATGTGTGTGTGTATGGGGGGGGGGGGGGGGGGGGGGTCACCGGCGTGTCCAGTTCGGGTGAAAATTTACATGTGGTGGTAAGAAGACTTACAAGGCCTGGATAAAGAAGGCTGTAAAGCAACCAGGCATACAGGTCCCTGGAGTACAGCAGGTTCACACTGAGAGAGCCTTAGATTACAGCACAGAGGCAAAGGGAAAAGGAAGACCCAGCGCGCACTCACTGAGGGGGGAGGGGAGCAGCTCCCATGGGTGGTAGAGACATTTAGGGAAAGACTGTTCCAGGGCAGCAGAGCGAGACATTGGGTGGACACGCTGAGGGTCCAATAAATATAGTGCCTCAGGCTCCTCCCCGCGGCCGGGGCGAGGAGCGTGGTGGCGCTCGCGGATGGCGGGTGTGACGAGGAGCTGAGCTACGGTGGCCTAGCACGTCCCTGGGCCATGGCGTCAGGAAACGGGCCCGGCCCACAGCGCCCCAAGTCTCAGATTTCGGGACAACTACCGGCCTCCGAGCCTGTCCACAGGGCGGGCTGCATGGAGCACGGTTCCCGGCGGCCATACCGGCAAGACAGCCAGGGACAGCGGCGACCGCCTACAGGAAGAGGAAGCGGTGCTGCCCGCAGCCGCGCGGCAGCCTAAACGCGCCCTAGGTCCGCCCTCCCCGGGCGGAAGTGAGGCCATTGGGCCCGCCCCGCGTCCCATACCTCGCGAGACTTCGCAAGAGCCTTCCTCTTGCAACTCGGCCGCCGACATGGTAGGTTATTCTTATCTCGCCTCCCTTTCAATGCGGGCACCAGACCGCGATCTCTGCTCGCTCTGCACCCCGGCCACCTACCCTCGACCTTAGCCGGCTCTCCCAGGTCGCACATGGCGGGCCGCAGGGTAGGGGGCCGGCCTGGGCCCGGATGCCCGGGCCGCGTGTTCGGCCCGGGGTTGGGATCTCGGAGACCGGCGGTCCCGGGCGCCGCCCGGAGGAGGCCGCGTGGCGCCGGGCCAGTCCGCCCCCGGTGCTTTTCTGAGATCGCGGCACCAGACCGATCCTCGATCTTCAGGCCCGCGGGCCGCTCGCAGTCCGGCAAGCTTCGCCCCTGCCCCACCTTTCTTGGGCCTTATCCCACGCACCTTTCTCCACACAGCCATCCAGACTGAGGAAGACCCGCAAACTTCGGGGCCACGTGAGCCACGGCCACGGCCGCATCGGTACGTACCCGCATCCCGTCCTGCTCGGCCCTGGGCTCTGCCTGCCTGGTGCTCAGCTAGTCAGGAGGCAGATGGCTTAGAAGTGGGTTAGTAAGAACTTTGTGCAGCCGGGTCGGATTGAGTCTGACCTACTTCTTTGGGATCCTCTAGTATTTCACTTGCAGAGAATAGCACATGGGCGGGGGGCAGGTGGTAGTGAAAATCGAGCATTGGTTGAAGGCATGAGTGCTGTGGTGGTGCTGCAGAGAGATGCTTAAATCGGAGTCTTAAAGGAGTCGCAGTGCTGACAGTACTGCGGACTAGGAGCGGCAGAGGCTGGGGGAGACTGGCCAGGAGTGTCGGACGGGGAGGGCTCTGCTCTGTTAGCCACAGAACTCTCCTCCTCCAGGCAAGCACAGGAAGCACCCGGGGGGCCGCGGGAATGCTGGCGGCCTGCATCATCACAGGATCAACTTCGACAAATAGTGAGTGTTTCTCGGGCTGTATTTTAATGACAGTTTGGGGGTGGGAGTGGGCTGGGGGCTGGGGAGGCCGGCTCCAAGCATCTTAAATGGGAAGCACGCCTCCTAACCACCACAAACCTTGCCTGTTGTTGGCTTTTACCGAGCGAACACTTGATGTGAGCTGAGAAATTTGTCATCGAGGCTAGAGTCACGCTTGGGTATTTGCTGTTGCCTTAGTGTGCTAGAGTCCTCGAAGAGCAACTGCTACCCTTATTCACTGACTGTGGGCCCCTGTGGCACAGTCAGTCACCAGGCTAGTGACACCATCAGACTGACCTATACCTCTGTAGGATCCACTTAGGCCCTCAAATTAGGGGTGGTATTTTAACTATTTGTTTATTATTTGGTGAAAGATCTGTTTTATTCAAAAAATGGCTGGAGTGGAGTATCTGTTGTCAGGGTTCTACACCCATTGACAATTTACACTGTAATGGGGGAGATAGATTATAAAGATGATAAATATCACTTAACTGGAGTGAAGTTTTGAAACTGGTTGCCTTCTCTCAGTCACCCAGGTTACTTTGGGAAAGTTGGTATGAGGCATTACCACTTGAAGAGGAACCAGAGCTTCTGCCCAACTGTCAACCTTGACAAACTGTGGACCCTGGTCAGTGAGCAGACACGGGTGAATGCTGCCAAAAGCAAGACTGGAGTTGCTCCCATCATTGATGTGGTGCGATCGGTGAGTGAATTGTTTGCCTTACATGGGCCCTTGCCTCTCCTCAAAGCTCTGAGTAACCTAATCTACTTGATCTCCCACCTGAGCCCTATGCCCGATTCCTAACTAGACAGTTCTGCCTTTGGGCAGAATTTCCAGAGGTAATTCTCTGACCAGAACTGAATTCCAGTTCATTTGTGATTCAACAAAATATTTGAAGAGTAATTTCTTCTACTCTTCATTCTTTCAAGTACTTTATTTTCACTTGAATGTTTTTCCCATCAGTAATTTCATTTTTGTTATTTTCCTGGTTTGTACAAGTTTGCAATTCTCACCTAAAATTACTGGCAGTTTCTTAGCTCAACTGGCTCTGGTCTGTTTTACACAGGTCTACATTAGGCACCGCTACTGACCTTTCATGTTCCCTACAGAATAAAATCCTAGTATGTTTTAATTGTGATTTCAAGGCCCTACATTATCTGAAGAGCTGCCCCCTTTCTTCCCCCCAAAAAATGCCACCCAAGCTTTTTTGTATCTCTCTATGAGTCTTAACCTCCCATGGGTACAGGAGTAGTCTAAATCTTTCAGTTAAGTGTTACATTCCCCTTCCCAGCCTGTTTACCATCTCTTGAGCAATTCTGGTGGTCAAGACTTCTGGAACATTGCTGGGAATGTGGTTTTCCTTTTTTGCTTATTAGATGGTAATTGAATGGGAAAGGGGGGTGTTGGGCTTTGCCCGAGACTAGAGTCACATCTTGACAGCTATTGTCCTGGTGTGCTACAGTTCTCGGAGAGAATCTGCTGGTCTTGATTCACTGGCGTGGGCAGTAAGTGCCCCCGGTAGTGCCCAGATCAGAAACATAGGCTTCCCAGCTCCTAGGTGGAATGGGTTGTCTGTCATCTGTCCTCATACCCATTAAGGAGTGGGTACCTGCCATCGTGTGTTATAACCCTTTTCTCTATTCTAGGGCTACTACAAAGTTCTGGGGAAGGGAAAGCTCCCAAAGCAGCCTGTCATTGTGAAGGCCAAGTTCTTCAGCAGAAGAGCCGAGGAGAAGATTAAGGGTGTTGGTGGGGCCTGTGTCCTGGTAGCTTGAAGCTACATGGAGGGGAGTTCATTAAAATATCCAAGTACTTTTGTCTTCTGGTCTGAGTGTAGGTCCTTTGGCATCTCTGCTTCCCTACCTGTACTTCCAAAACCTCCCTAACAGGTTCTAGGAGTTAGGGTATCGAGGCCTGGGGTCCTCTGCAAACTTCCCTGAGGAAGAAAGAAGCCTTTGGACCGATCCTGACTTGAACTTTTCATTTATAAAGTGAGAATGATACCTGTTGCTAATGTGTGTGTAGATAGGTATTAAATAGTTGAAAGGTCTGTTTGCATTGTATACTCACAATTCACAATGAGTGGAAGAATGTGTCCTTGACTGTTCCATGTGGCTCAAAAGGACTGTTTTGATGGGACACGGTCTACAGAAGGGAAAAAGGAGTGATAGGACCGAGGCCATTCCTAGGGAGATCATTCCTGAGCCCAAGATTTTCCCACCGGGCTCCCTCATCTTAGACTTTGGACTATTCTAGTCATAACCAAAATCTTGAGATGGGCTCCAACAATCTGAATTTAAACATGCCAGGGGTTTTACATATCAAACTGGCTTGTATTATAGAAAGCAGTTGTAAGGATTTATGGGTCCCTGTGCATAGGAGGTTTCATGTTCAAAGAAATGTATCATGAAAATTTTAACAATTTCTCTTATAGACTGCTGTATATCTAGTAGAAATGTGGGTTATCCTAAAGGCCAGAAACTGGGTTTTGTATGTCTTGCAAAACACTGATCCCAGGGTAAATTATAATTTGCTCTTGTGCTCAGAGTTGTTTCAAAGATTTTTAAATAATGACCCAAAATAAAGCTTGCAGTCTAGAATCCTGGCCAGATTAAGTTAAGATAGCACTCAAGCCTACTAATGACCATTTTGTTTTGGGTTTTTTGTTTTTAACGACCACTTGGACTTGCATTGTGCATGATGGTGTTTAAGGAGAAAGGTGAAGTGATGGGTTTTGCTTTAGTGTCTTCCTGAGAAACTATGGAAGCTAAGGCCATGAATCTAAAACAGGTGGTGGTCAGGTCAGTAGATTGAGAACTGCGAGACGTGCCCTGGTTGGTGTGTTTAGTGGTTAGAATATCAGCCCGAGTACTTGGGTTTGATCCCCAACTCCAATTGGGTAGGGAGTGTGCAGGAGGCAACCAAACTATAATATTGATGTTTCCCTCCCTTACACTAAAAATCAATGGGGGAAAAATGAGGGTTTTAAAAAAGGATTACAAGATTAAATGTTTGAGTCCTTACTGGCACTGAAGATATAAAAGTATACAAAGTCTGAAATATAGACCCAAACTTAACAATTGTGTAACTCCAATTTTCTTTAAAATTTAGGTGAAGGCACCTACTTGAGGATCATGGGGATTAAGTAAAATGTAAAGCATTTATTAAAACTTGTTGACTTGGTTAAAATTATGTAAGTGAATTATGGGAGCAGATGAGAAACCTTGGTGTGATTCAGTTAATGGTAAAGTGGTCCAAACTGAGGGAAGAAGAAACAAGCCTTCAGGAAACCAATTTGAAAAAGACAAGGCTCTAGGGCAGTGGTTGTCAACCTTGGCTGCACATTAGGATCACCTGGGAATCTTTAAAATCCTGATTTCTGGGCCTCATCCTCCAGAAGTTCTGTTTCTTTGTTACTAATGTTGTGGCCCCACCCCATAACAAAGAAACAGAACTTCTGGAGGATGAGGCCCAGAAATCAATATTTTAAAGATTCCCAGGTGATCCTAATGTGCAGCCAAGGTTGACAACCACTGCTCTAGGGACTGGGCTACAGTGAAGTGTGGAGGCCAGGAACAAGGAAAGTGGGATTCAGAAGACAAAATGGTTAGTCCTGGGATGGTGGGGTTTAGGGGAAGAGTCACTTGTCCCTTAGTGATTAGCTGTCCAGAAACAGGATGGGTGCAAATGGCCATGCTAAATGTGTAAATCTTTTAAGGCCATCGTCCCATTTCTTGGCCTGGGAAAAGCAGCTACTGATCTGTTGAGCTTTGTTCAGTGTTCGCACTCACCAGGACAACTAACAGCGGGGCAGATTTCCTGATTCCAAGTATTGCCCAAGGAAGCTGGGGGACTGAAAATCCAAACGTCCATGCCCCAAATGAGTGACAGGCACAGACCGAGAGTGGCTGGAACCGAAGGCAAACTTTAGGTTTTAATTTTATATTTCAGCTGAGATAGGCTCAAACAGCGTGTCTTGTGGACACAAGCTCATGATGCCCCTAGTGGCCGGTAAGTGCGGAGGATTAATGACGTCCTTTCGTATACTATAGGCATCAGCTTTGTCAGGAACCCTTCTAACGCCTTCAACCTTTTGTTCGCGTCAGATGTAGAAACTGGTATTGCCTAGCACATTGGGTTGACACCTAAATTATCTGCAAGCTGGAATTGCTACGGGTATCTTTACTGGCCTAATACATGCTTTGTTTTCATACAAACCTCGGAACTGCAGCTATAACAATGGGGAATGTCTGCCACATAATTTGGCAAAATTAGCTAGGTCAGATTTAAGATTTCAATTCATAGGTATTTCTATTCGATGGCTAGTCCAAAAGCAACGAAAACAAAACTGCGGCGCGGGCGCGCACCTCCGGCGGAAGATGTGCGGTGCCCGCCTACACGGGAAGGCGGAAAGCCACGGGGTTTCGGGCGCCCCGAGCCCTGCAGAGCTTATCGCTTCCGGGCCACCCTCGTGGGTCTACACCGCCCGACTTCCTAGGTCCCGTCAGGTTACGACCACGGCTCCGCTCGCTCTCCCCCGCCCTCAAAGCCACTTCCGGAGTGAGGTTCTAGTTCCGGGATCACTTTGACCCCTGCAGAATGACCGGAAGCACGGTGAGCCCGGCTCCACCCCTTGGCTCAGTTATTTCCGGTAGTGGGCGGGGCCGCCCCGCTTTGAGCAGCGGGAAGTTCAATTCTGGCCCCGGTACCGGTGCGGCTAGGGCCGCCGCGAAGAGCGGGAGTCTCCGCCGCTTGCACACTTTCCAAACCCCGTTTCGGCCGGGCTTAGCGGGAGGCGTGGGCTTTATATACACTTTCAAGACGGTAATTTCCAAACCTCAAAACTTTCTGTTGTCAAAAAGATAACGAGCACCAACTGCGTTCAAGGTACCTTGGGCTAAAATATACTTGTATACACATGAAATGTTCTGGAAGAACATAGAACAGAAGGGATTTCCGGTGAGGGAGAAATGATACTTTCATATTAAAAGGCGATATAAACGGGCAAAAAGTAACTTAGAAAGTTGCCAATAACTTGACAGTGCTAAAAAGTATTTTAACACCCACCCCACTTCCGTAAGTTTAAGATGTTTTGGGATGCATAACAGCACAGTATGGCTCCCTAGTAAGAATGAAGGTTGTTTCATTTCTGACTTCATTTTAGTCCAATTTTTGTTTTATTTCTACTTTGTTTTGTGTTTTTTAAACCCTGTTTATCCTTAGACATAAGTCATTTGGGGTACAAGGTAAGTTTTAAGTCCACATATGAAATATATTTTTAACAAAAATTTAACTGAGCAGTGATCGCAATTACAATAATTTTCTTGGGGCCCTAATTACACAGACCATCGGATGTGAACCACAGTTGGAGTCATAATGCTTTCTAAGGACAGGTCTCCAAAACACCCCTTAAAAGCCGGGTTCCCCATCTTAGCACTGCAGTTACCAGCACATGATGACTTACTGAAAAGAGCCTTAGAAAGACCCAAGAGGCAGCCTGCCCTACTTTAAAAGTTATCAGACTCATTACAGGAAAAACCCAGGGCCTTTCTCTTTTTTTTTTAGCGGGAGCAAAGTTTATTGAGAGAAGCCAGTCCTGGAAAAGGTGCAGCTAGTGTTCCTTTCCATGTTACAGCTGAGCATTACAGTCTAGGAGTCCATGCCCTGGCTGGTATGGCTCAGTGGATAGTCAGCCTGTGGACTGAAGAGCCGGGATTGGATTCCAGGTTGCAGGCTTGATCCCCAGTGTGGGGTGTGCAGAGGCAGCCCATCAATAATTCTCATCATTGATGTTTCTATCTCTCTCTCCCTCTCCCTTCCTCTCTGACATCAATAAAAATATATTTAAAAGAAACACAAAGTCTAGTAGTCCATGTGTAGAGTTCCACATGGCCACAGGGGAGCATGTCTCCTGCCATCAACCCAAGAATCTAGTGCGTGTTCTGTAGAATCTTGGTGGAACCTCCAGAGATGATACCCAAAATTTCTGTTCAGGTCCAAGTTCCTTGTCTTGAGAAATTGAAGAATGAGTTCGTGAACAAAAAGACCAGCGAAAGCAAGTTTTATTACAGGAACTGCTGCAGGGAGGGGACCCAAGCAGGTTGCCCCTCAGGGCCTTTCTTAACCCCAGAATAGATGAGGGCTGAAACCCATAGGCACCGGGACTTCTAGTAGAGGAGACCAATTGCCCGAGTTCTCAGCACTGTTAAAGGACACTTGCTCTCAAAGGTGGCAATAGCATGGTGGGGAGGGGGTCAGGGAGTCACAATCATGGAAGGGAAGCAACCAGGGAACCTAGCTGTCCTGCAATGTATGGGTTGATTCTTAAGAACAAAGAAAAAAAATCTACCTCAGAACCTAACTCCATTTACACATAATCAGTAAGTTGGGGGGGTGGGGGGTGGGGATGATTCAGTTTTCATGTACTTCTCAGTTTTCCAGGATTCCAAATACTGTTTTAAGTCAGGGAAGCTCATACTGTGTTTTGTTCAGACTACTACCCAGAATTGTTCATTTCAGAAAACTCTCTTGCCAATGGTTAA